AAATCTACTGTAAACAACCGACATTAAATCTACTGTACAAACAACCGACATAAAATCTACTGTGCAAACACCCGACATTAAATCTACTGTACAAACAACCGACATTAAATCTACTGTACAAACAACCGACATTAAATCTACTGTGCAAACAACCGACATTAAATCTACTGTACAAACAACCGATATTAAATCTACTGTACAAACAACAGACATTAAATCTACTGTACAAACAACCAACATTAAATCTACTTGATTTTGTGGCCTTGTTAACTTTCATTATACATTTTAAATAATTTTGATAACGGCTTTAAATTACCCAACATACATCAGTGTACGGTGAGATCACAGACGTACATACAGGTCAAATCCTCCACCAACACAAATGGTGGTAAAACTTGTAACTAGAGTCGTTCTCACCAGAAGAAAATACATGTTTGGATGAAGAAACTCCGCGACGCTTATCAATAACATTCCAACAAGTTATATCGGTTTCAAAGAATTCTCTCTCCCCCTCATTATCGTTAACCCTGGACAAGGGCAACCCCCCCCCCAAAAAAAAGGCCTAATGATAAACGACAGTTTGTGATGTTTCTAATGTATTTTTTACATACCACGCATAAGCTAAAGACACCAAGGTCGTGTCCTCGGTTGTTGTTTTTTTTTTTGCTTTCTTGTGCTCATTCTCATCCATACATACATTTATATAATTGGAATATATAGCCCGAAACACGAAGCGTATATCAATAATGTTAGTTCTGTTATATAGTTTAACAAATCTGTCTTCAGTTACGTACGTTGGTGTTATTTTATTGGCGGTAAATGAACACACGTGGTCAAAATTCGAGTAGTAACACAAACCGAAGAGTTTGGAACAAGACGTTATCTTTGAGCGTTAGGATACTGAATAACTGACGTTGAGTCTACACAGACATATCCGTATCTGTTTATAGAAATATCATATATCTCGAATTAACGTTCACCTTCTTGACTACTAGACTACAGACAACAACTGTATACAACTTAGAACCACATCTGTAGTATATACCGTTATCTTTTGTTCTGACTGTTAGTGGATTCTCATGTTTTGAAGTTTAACTCGGTTGTACGTTGTAAAGCGTGAACTGGAAATACTGATTTTAAAAGATTGTTTGTTTGTTTGTAATTAAGTACAAAGCTACACAGTGGGCTATCTGTGCTCTGCCCACCACGGGTATCGAAAACCGGATTCTAGCGTTGTAAGTCCGCAGACATACCGCTATGCCACTGGGGGGGGGGGCGATTATAAAACTAAGTTTTGAAATATACAACTTAAGAACAATGTATTTTAGAAAAAAAAAACATGACTTTTTTTATCTTGCAAATCAAAACATGAATATTCTTGCACGTGATAATAAACTGTCAGTGTCTAAATCTCAAAAAGAAAAAGTAATCCATCAGGAAGTGGAAGTTTTGTTGATAAAACTTGTGATTCTGCTTCTGTACGTGGATAATGCTGCTAGTGTTCTATACATAGCCCCCAAACTGTTGTCTTTTCTTAATTACTTCTGATATTGCATCACCTTGAGTAATGTTATGTTCTTATCTATAACAGTCATTGTAGAGAACAGACCAGAAGAATGGTCATTACCTTCATTCACTAATACATATGGGACATATCAGATCTTAATTACTTCTGATATTGCATCACCTTGAGTAATGTCATGTTCTTATCTATAACCAGTCATTGTAGAGAACAGACCAGAAGAATGGTCATTACCTTCATTCACTAATACATATGGGACATATCAGTAATTAATAATATCGTAAAATGTTTCTGGTCTCAATTCAATCAAGGCAACTTGTACAAAAAGTTTCCAAATGAATACAGGAAGAACGTTTCGTATTGGCCGTTAGCCAGATAAAGTTTTTGTTGTGAAATGTATGTGTTGTTCCTTTTTGAATGTTGTACCTCTCTGGTCAGTCGGTATTCGATACAAAAACAAAGAAGAGGAAATAGAGACGTTTTAAATTAAAACACGTACTTTTTGTGTGACTCGTGTGTTGTGAGGAATCTTGCTGTTCGTGTTTTAGAAGTTCCGCTCTAAGTTACGTAAAGGTCATCCCTGATTTATTGGCTAAAGAGAAAGCAGCTGGTCATCAGCACCCATCGCCAACTCTTGTCTTATGTAGCCTAATAGTGGAATTTACACGCCATTCCTATAACACCTACGGCTCCAAACCGCGAAGATCGGTTTTTACAGCAACGGAATGTGAACCACAAACCTTGAGATTCACAGTACAAGCATGCTAATCACCAAGCCCAGCTCAGTAATGTTGTAACCAATAGCTTAGCCCAGTAATACTGTCCGGCCCAGTAACATTGTAACCAACAGCCCAGCCCAGTAATATTGTAACCAATAGGTCAACCAAGTAATACTGTCCGGCCCAGTAGTATTGTAACCAACAGCCCAGCCCAGTAATATTGTAACCAACAGCCCAGCCCAGTAATATTGTAACCAACAGCCCAGCCCAGTAATATTGTAACCAACAGCTCAGCCCAGTAATATTGTAACCAACTGTCCGGCCCAGTAATATTGTAACCAATAGCTCAGCCCTGTAATATTGTAACCAATAGGTCAACCAAGTAATACTGTTCGGCCCAGTAATATTGTAACCAACAGCCCAGCCAGTAATATTGTAACCAACAGCACAGCTCAGTAATATTGTAACCAACAGCTCAGTCCAGTAACATTGTAACCAATAGCTCAGCCCAGTAATACAGTCCGGCCCAGTAATATTGTAACCAATAGCTCAGCCCAGTAATACAGTCCGGCCCAGTAATATTGTAACCAATAGGTCAACCAAGTAATACTGTCCGGCCCAGTAGTATTGTAACCAACACCCCAGCCCAGTAATATTGTAACCAACTGCCCAGCCCAGTAATGTTGTAACCAACAGCTCAGCCCGGTAATATTGTAACCAACAGCCCAGCCCAGTAATATTGTAACCAACTGTTCGGCCCAGTAATATTGTAACCAACAGTCCAGCGCAGTAATATTGTAACCAACTGTCCGGCCCAATAATATTGTAACCAACAGCCTAGCCCAGTAATATTGTAACCAACAGCCCAGCCCAGTAATATTGTAACCAACAGCCCAGCCCAGTAATATTGTAACCAACAGCCCAGCCCAGTAATATTGTAACCAACAGCCCAGCCCAGTAATATTGTAACCAACAGCCCAATTGGTTACAATATTACTGGGCCTGTCCGGCCCAGTAATATTGTAAACAACTGCCCAGCCCAGTAACATTGTAACCAACAGCCCAGTAATATTGTAACCAACAGCCCAGCCCAGTAATATTGTAACCAACTGTCCGGCCCAGTAATATTGTAACCAACAGCCCAGCCCAGTAATATTGTAACCAACTGTCCGGCCCAGTAATATTGTAACCAACAGCCCAGCCCAGTAATATTGTAACCAACTGTCCGGCCCAGTAATATTGTAACCAACAGCCCAGCCCAGTAACATTGTAACCAACAGCCCAGTAATATTGTAACCAACAGCCCAGCCCAGTAATATTGTAACCAACTGTCCGGCCCAGTAATATTGTAACCAACAACCCAGCCCAGTAACATTGTAACCAACAGCCCAGTAATATTGTAACCAACAGCCCAGCCCAGTAATATTGTAACCAACTGTCCGGCCCAGTAATATTGTAAC